ACTGGTGTTATAGAACTATTCTGGTTCTTGGTAAGGGAGGTAAAACTGGTGTTATAAAATTATTCTGGTACTTGGTAAGGGAATAAGGTTCATGTCGTAACCGCCTGTTTTAAAAAAGCAAACCAAAGCAAAATTCATGTAACATAAGGAGGGGTACAATGACCATATATTGCATATATATCAAAAACATACTTTTTCATACTTTGTTTAAATATCAAGTTAGGGTACATGCAGGATATTGTAGTTGATGATATGTTGAGTTTGAGTCACAGCCGACTGTCAAAATAGAGTAACAATGTGTTGTAAACTTTGGGTTGGTGTCATTCGCAACAAGTTGTGACTTAAATTTAAAAAGGAGAGAGATGCTTATATGTAAACGTAACTAATTCGTAGTCAAAACTTTGAGGAATTGTTAATTTAAGCAGAGAACATTTTATATGCGTTACCGTGCAGATGTTGACATGTTCCGGAATGTTAAGATTCTTCTGCTTCACTGACGACATTTGCTTTGTAGTCAAATTCAAACAATGGCACGTCCTCCAAGCAAGAACCGAGATATTGAAAACGAAACAACGGGGAACACCACTGAGCATAATCATCGACCTTTATATCGCACAAGGAATCATAAAACTTACCTATAGACTTCGTCAACTTGTAGCTCTTGAAATCATGTGTTGTATTTTCAGGGCAACCTTCTGAACACCGAATCTTGGGAAGCAGAAATGTTGGCAAGAAAAGGAAATTTCACGATCGGAAAATCGTATGTTGCCCCTTATCGTACAGCTTACTAGTAAGACGTCCTATTGGCCATGTTGTGAGTTAAGATTGAGGAAAGATGCTGATGTAGAAGAGTGTATCTTCCAAAATATTTGATTTTAAGGTAAAAAAAAAAACATGACGCACATGGACAATCATTTTTTGCTTGTTTTATTATCTGCGGGTTTATAAGGACTACGGAAGGTTTTTGTTACCGGTTTCGTGATAAGCAAATTAATACATTCAGTCTTGTACAATTTTACGAAAACAAGTCGGCCATGTGGCACATTTTGTTCCTATAGGAATGCCTACAGTCTGCTAGCTAACAGCAAAGAACAATTCTACCATCCTGACTTCTGGAGGTCCGACGTCCTCTGTTTCCCTTCGCTTTCTATAACTCCAAAAGATTGGAATCTGATTTAGTCAGTATAGCACGCGAATTATATTCCAGACAATTATGGTAATCTCTTCTAAATCGTTAAGTCCGTAAAAGAAAAGAAAATCAAGCCGCCATGGCGATTGTCCCATCTTATGTAATGCATAGCATTCTGTAGCACACAGATGATGTAATTTAGATTCTCCATAAATAGGAAAGAGGTGTATAGCTGTTGCAGAATGCGTATGCTCCAAATCCAAATTACTATAACTGAAAAAAAAATATCATCATCTATATACATGTAAATGCGTGTCCAGTAAATCTGCAGCTTAAAGTAACAATGGCATTTTCCGTGGGAGAGGAAATGCTTCTTATATATATTAATTACAAACCACTGGACAAGCGTTACGCTCAGTTTTGAACGGATTCAGCCAAAACTCTTTTAAAAAATATTGTTTTCCAACTTTTCAACAGCATTCATGTGTAAACAAGTCGTTATTGGAACGGACTATAGAAGTTTATACATCCATATTAAAACCTGGCACGATAGTTTGTATGACCCCTTTTCATGTATAGAATCTCGTTTTAAAAACATTGACTTTTTTATTGACATGGTTCAAAACACCATGGCGTCTACATCATACGCAAAAACTGCGTCCGGACGTCTACGATGACTACTCCTCGTGGTCACCACTGGGTCGTGGGTGCGAGGGCTACGTAGCTCGATGACTACTCCTCGTGGTCACCACTGGGTCGTGGGTGCGAGGGCCACGTAGAGCAGTCGCCGAGCACAGGGACCTGAGCATTTATTACAGCTATATTTGGCCTAAACTTAGGTGTTCAGAGTAACTTGACATGTTTTAGGGGTTAAGATCGACTTTCGGTAAAAATGCCACTGTAACGTTGAATATTGACCCCGTTGACACCACCACCAAAACCAGCTGGCTCTTCCTTATGACCATGGCTAATAGGACGTAATCCTAATATGACATCGTTGCCATTCTCGTTTGCCGTCTTGCAAATCCTGTGGTCCTCCATTGCAACCTTTTTCAGATTCAATAGGAATACAAACCGTATCGTTAAGGTTCAGTCATCCTCGATATCCGTGACTTTTAACAGGACATCACAATTTACTATATGATACACAATGGGAGAACAAGGTAAGAGAAAAAGAATCATTCACCCCCTTGTGGGTAAAGGAGGGGAATATCAACCCTCGGCAAAGTCTCGTGTTTGGCAACTTTATAATCGTCCCCCATGAGTTGAGATTCCCCTTTCTCTTACCCTGGACAGGTGTATTCGCTCTTTTACCGGTGTGAGATTTCCTTTTCTCCCACACCTGACAGATTTATCTCCCGTTTTGCCGGTGCTAGATTTATCTGTCTCCGCCCTAGGGCTGAGACGGGGGGATTCCCCTATTCATAACAATGGTGTGACGTCACTTCAACAATACAATGACGTCACGTCAACAATCCATCAACAAATTGCCTGTATGTGTTTTGGGTCCATGTTTACCTTTATTTCACATTAAAATACTGTTGATATGGGAGAAAATAATCAATCGCTACTGGTTGTGTAAGATAGAGAAATCTCAACCCTCGGACTAAGATTTTTTTTTTCTGGACAAAAAATCTTAGTCCGAGGGTTGAGATTTCTCTATCTTACACAACCAGTAGCGATAGATTCTATTAGTCTCACCCTAGGGTTAAGACGGGGTATTACCCTATTCATAACAATGGTATGACGTCACTTCAACAATACAATGACGTCACGTCAACAATCCATCAATGTCATGTCAAACCTGAATTTAGCCTGTGGCGTAAACATAACATTTTGTATATGATACACAATGAGATGAACAGGGTAAGAGAAAAAGAATCATTCCCCCCTTGTGAATGAGATAGGGGAATTCTCAACCCTTGGGCAAAGCCTTGTGTTTGACAACTTAAGAATCTTCCCCCTCGGGTTGAGATTCCCCTATCTCACCCCCAAGGGGTGAGAGATTCTATTAATCTCACAGGGATGAGAAATTCTATTAATCTCACACCGGTAAAAGTGAGGTTACACGTACCTTTCCAGGGTAAGAGGATACACGTACCTGTCCAAGGTAAGAGGATACACGTACCTGTCCAGGGTAAGAGGAGGATACACGTACCTGTCCAGGGTAAGAGGAGGATACACGTACCTGTCCAGGGTAAGAGGTAGACGCGCTATTTTTTTCACTCAGAATACTGTTGATTACATTTTGTTTATTTACTTTATTTCGTCATTATTATTTTCCATGAAAGTAAAGAAGCGCAAAGTATGGTTTTCATTTTAGAAATGATTTATTAAAGTTAGGGCATGTGAACTTTGACCCCTGCCAGCGTTTAAATTTGACCTTTAACCCCAACACATTATATTAGAGAAAAAAATAAGTACTATGTGGTTTACATGACATGACTAACCAGTAATGTGGTTCTTTCTATTTTAATGCTTAAATTATATATTAATGACCCATGTGACTTCAAAGTAAGCGAAGTCATTATATGAAGCAACTATAGAACTGAGCACTCCCTGCTGACGGTAAATACCACGAACCTTGGTATTATGGATCTTAGAAGCTCCCCCCCCCCCCCTTTTTAGTTTTAGTCTAGACCATTTTAATCTTTACTCACCTACAATCAATGATGACTTTTGACTACCAATACAGTGTATAATTACAATAAAAAAGGCTTCATACTACTTAAATAGACCTTCTGATTTTTTAAATAGGACAGACCGAGGCATGCTGGACCCAGTATCAGGCTGTTCCGACAGTTTGTCGGGAGATTTGGACACATGCGGATATATACAGCTCATGGTATAACTATGACGTCATAAAGCACGCAACGTCAAATTTTCCCGCCACTTGACCACGAATTCACACGTGTTACCTGACCTAAACCTATACGTATATACCCCACTTGGGCCAAATTTTTTCATTGATATATTTCAATAACTTCGTATATTACAGCAATACGAAAGTCAGTGTTAGACTTATAAGTGTCCTTCCAAAAGTAATCTTTTCCATTCAAGTACTTTTAATTGGAGTTTTACACACATTTCTAACAGAACTCTAAAATTCTCAAGAAGCCCTGGTCCGAACTTGTCGCCTCGTTAATCCCCTCACATGTCTAAACATTTTAGACATGTGATTTAAAAAATATTTCAATGTCGTTAAAAAAAGGAAACTCATTCCGATGGTATTTACTGGTAAAACATCAGGACCCTATATGTGCTTAATAAATTTGGGTGGTCGGGTGGCGCAGTGGCTAGCGTACCAGCCTTTCACCTGTCCGAATACCTGCGGGTTTTCTCCAGGTACTACGGTTTCCTCCAACAGTAAGACCTCCCACGCGCTAACATACGGACCAACAAGACTGTGATGATTAAAATAAGTTGTGAATACTTGTTTCATTTAAAATAAATAAAGTTTATATTAAACTTGATGGACGACGTTACGGACGGGTGGACGGACGGACTGTTACCTTGAGTTTAAATGCAATTTAATTGTATCAGTTAGGCCACGGACTTAGATAACAATCTAATCTAATTCCGTGGTTAGGCCTAGTTGAAATATAGACCTAGACTAACCGTGCTAACAGTGGCACCTGACGTTAACCCTGACCTTACGGGACTGGGTCTGGGAAGTTAAATGATCTCGCTATTTATGAAAACGTTATCAACCTATCTGTATTACTTATCATATAAGACCATAAAAACAACGTACATTATGTAATGGTCAGACACTATTTATAATCTCTGTTTTAATATTTTACCAAATAAACATTATGGTAATATTGACCAATGAGAGAGGAGCTTTCCAAACAGACCGAATCTACTCTAGACGATTAACAATAGGCCACCATCTGATCGGAGATCGGAAACCGTCGATATATTTTGACAGATGTAGACAAAATGTGACAGGAGTTATTTAGGTCTTTACTAAGCATGTTGAGCTGGGGACGAGATAGTACCCCGGATATAGATACGGTGGAGAGGGGGCCGCATGTCCTCGCAGTAGAAACCCGTGGTTGAATGGGTCAGAAATGTAATTTGGAGGATGGGGAACGACAGAGGAATATGGACTTTTCTACTTGTGATCAACTTCTCTGTTATCATTCAATGCTCGTGGCCCCTGTCTTCATGCAAGGGTAAACGCACTATTTACACGGCCCCTAATGGCACGGTGGAGAGCGGGGTCGGGGCTGATGGCACTTACACCAATTTTTCGCGATGCGAATGGCTCATTGATGGTAAGGATGCTGAGTGCTGCTGCTGTACTAAGCTGACTCTACATGTTGTTTGTTGGCATGTTGTACGGGTACTCTGTACGTACTGCACATGCAGTCACTGCATAATTGCTTTTGTTTGCTAATGTATCAACTAAAAGATGCAAATTTCATGTAGGAATAGCAATTATTGCTCAGAAAATAATAATAAATTAGGTTATTTACACTGCTCTACTATTTAATTGACAGTCACTGTAGAATATAAACATAACTGCCAGTGCTATGGTGTAATGGAGCAATTTATGGTTATCTAGAGGATTGAACAGATTTTTTCCAATATTCATGTCAGTATGAATGCAAAATGTACTGGTCCTATATATCAGGTCCAGTACACTCTGCCGATTATTGAGCTATATAGCTATAAAGACCTATATAGCTATATTCACCTATAAATTATAGCTGTATTGAGCTATAATTTCTCAGATTTCAATTTTCATTAAATCAAAGCAAAGTCGCATAAAACAATAAGGTTTATGGTAATGTTGACTACAAAAAGTATAAGATTTATTTACATCATTTTTTTGCTCAGAAAATAATAATGAATTAGGTCATTTACACTGCTCTACTATTTAATTGACAGTCACTGTAAAATATAAACATAACTGCCAGTGCTATGGTGTAATGGAACACTTATTTATGGTTATCTAGAGGATTGAACAGATTTTTTCCAATATTCATGTCGTCATGAATGCAAAATGTACTGGTCCTATATATCAGGTCCAGTACACTCTGCTGATTATTGAGCTATATAGCTATAAAGACCTATATAGCTATATTCACCTATAAATTATAGCTGTATTGAGCTATAATTTCTCAGATTTCAATTTTCATTAAATCAAAGCAAAGTCGCATAAAACAATAAGGTTTATGGTAATGTTGACTACAAAAAGTATAAGATTTATTTACATCATTTTTTAAAAAGAATACTTATATTAAATGTCTTGTGTTATCAACCTAATGATAAAATCTTCTTTTAAAAGCGACTTTGTTTCGTTTTCCTTAAAAAAGAAAATCACTTGAAAACAACTCAAAAGACCCATTTCAGATAGGTCAATAGAGCTGTAGGTCTTTACAGCTATATAGCTCAATCGGCAGAGTGTACTGGACCTGCATGTATATATATCCACATTGCATGAAGCACTTATTTGAGGTCATCACACATAGCACAAGTTCATGGGTGAACCAGAAGTTAATGCGTTGAGGTGACCATTCCATAAGTTGATGGTTTTGGGTTGACCAAGTACAAGTTGAAGGTTTCGGATGACAAAACTGATTTAGGAGTTTTATTATCAAGGTTTAGGGTTGACCACATGACAAATTAATTTTTGGTGCAAACAAGATTTAGAGACACCTTGGTAGCATATACATGTATTTTCTTAGAAGATGTCACATCATGTTGTATTACAACTTCTATTACACAAACATGCAATAAACCAGTAACTGCCCCCAGTTTCACAGTCTGGCACTTTACCAACTGACTTAAAGGGAAATTCCCTGTAGTGCAAAGCTAGATCTCAGCCATGAACCTATCTTAATGTCTGCCATTGTTATCTGGTTCATGCATGTTTTCATTTTAGTAAAAGTTTAATACTTCTCCAGGAAAATTGTTTTTGCAAAAATATAACTTGCATAACTTACTGACGTCACAGATAACTGACATTTATTCCTGCCTGTATAAAGGATGTGTGCGTGTAGTCGTGTACATGTCCAGTATTCTGTTCATCATGCTTTGGTGGTAAAATATATAATATTTTGTTCATCAAAAAACAATTCTATGATGTTTCAATGTGTGCAAGTTTCTTAGCTTATAAGTGCTTTTACTTATTCATGTGTATTAGAAAGTTTATTGTTTTGTATATCATAAAAGTGTGTATGACTTCATTGATCCCCAACGCCCTGGCAACATCACTTTTGTTTGTGGATTTAAAGATTGGTATGGCCATCAGGTGGGCAATCTTGGATAATATTATTGGGAAGCCATATTGTTTGTTATATATATATATATATATATTATATAAAGAAAAATTCTTAACAACGAAATAATTCAATTTTAACTCCTACATACATATTTATATATAAATACAATATATGTTTATTGTTTAATTGGTAAACAATTCGTTAAGAATTTTTCTTTATATAATATTTATTCGTCCGTAAGGATCATTTTTCTGATTTATAATATATATATATATATATATATATATATATCAAATAGCAAGGTCAAGATCGCATAATTAAAGGTCAAGGTCATTATGAAAAACAGTGCATAACATCCAGAAATAATATTCTTGAGAATGAAGTCAAGTGCTACATATAGGACAAAGGTCAAGGTCAAGGTCATATGGTGTAAGTCTTGAAGGTCAAATTACAAGGTACATGTATTACATAAATCTTTATGAAGTAATATTGTAGAGATGATGCCAAGTGACCGACTAGAGTATGATTATGGTTCTCAAATTTAAGGTCAATGTGAAAAAGGATTTAACATATTTTTAATGACAAACATTACATAACAATGTTATAAAGCAACATTGTAAAGGTTGACCCCAGGTGTCTATAGATGCAGGTTAAAGCCTAAAGTCTGTGAGATAGAATGCTATATTATTTCTTTCATTTAAAAGATTTGATTATAACAAAATTGACCTCCTAAAGACAAGTCTTAGAATAAAATAGGCAAGTGATCATCCTTTTTCTGCTTTCTCCACATAACCTCTTTTGGTAGGTGCCAAGATCCCTCTGGGATCTCTATATACTTACTTAGTGATGAGCAATATTTCCATTGTTGTAGTCAAAAGTGTTGAAAATTTTGTACACATGTAATTTGATTTTGCTTGAATTTATCCTTATATTTAATTGGTCCACATTTTCCTGACCAAATGAATTTAATGAGCTACTAGCTATAGCTGTATGCATACAGTATATAAATACATTATATGTATATAGGAGTTAGTATATATACATACATTATATGTATATAGGAGTTAATAGTGTGCTAGTATATAAATACATTATATGTATATAGGAGTTAGTATATTTACATACATTATATGTATATAGGAGTTAATAGTATGCTAGTCTATAAATACATTATATGTATATAGGAGTTAACAGTGTGCTAGTATATACATACATTATATGTATAAAGATGTTAACGGTATGCTAGTATATAAATACATTATATGTATATAGGAGTTAGTATAAATACATACATTATATGTATATAGGAGTTAATAGTATGCTAGTCTATAAATACATTATATGTATATAGGAGTTAACAGTGTGCTAGTATATACATACATTATATGTATAAAGATGTTAACGGTGTGCTAGTATATAAATACATTATATGTATATAGGAGTTAACAGTGTGCTAGTATATACATACATTATATGTATATAGGAGTTAACAGTGTGCTAGTATATACATACATTATATGTATATAGGAGTTAATAGTGTGCTAGTATATAAATACGTTATATGTATATAGGAGTTAATAGTGTGCTAGTATATAAATACATCACATGTTTAAAGGAGTTAACAGTGTGCTAGTATATGAATACATTATATGTATATAGGAGTTAACAGTGTGCTAGTATATAAATACATTATATGTATATAGGAGTTAACTGTGTGCTAGTATATACATACATTTTATGTATATAGGAGTTAACAGTGTGCTAGTATATACATACATTATATGTATATAGGAGTTAACAGTGTGCTAGTATTTAAATACATATATGTATATAGGAGTTAACTGTGTGCTAGTATATACATACATTTTATGTATATAGGAGTTAACAGTGTGATAGTATATACATACATTATATGTATATAGGAGTTAATAGTGTGCTAGTACATAAATACATTATATGTATATAGGACTTAGAACAGTGTGGTAGTATATAAATACATTATATTTATATATATATATAGGAGTTAATAGTGTGCTAGTGTATACATACATTATATGTATATAGGAGTTAACAGTGTGCTAGTATTTAAATACATATATGTATATAGGAGTTAACTGTGTGCTAGTATATACATACATTTTATGTATATAGGAGTTAACAGTGTGATAGTATATACATACATTATATGTATATAGGAGTTAATAGTATGCTAGTATATAAATACATTATATGTATATAGGAGTTAGTATATACATACATTATATGTATATAGGAGTTAATAGTGTGGTAGTATATAAATACATTATATGTATATAGGAGTTAACAGGGTGCTAGTATATGAATACATTATATGTATATAGGAGTTAATAGTGTGCTAGTATATGAATACATTACATGTTTATAGGAGTTAACAGTGTGCTAGTATATGAATACATTATATGTATAAAGGAGTTAATAGTATGCTAGTATATAAATACATTATATGTATATAGGAGTTAGTATATACATACATTATATGTATATAGGAGTTAATAGTATGGTAGTATATAAATACATTATATGTATATAGGAGTTAGTATATACATACATTATATGTATATAGGAGTGAATAGTATGCTAGTATATACATACATTATATGTATATAGGAGTTAATAGTGTGCTAGTATATAAATACATTATATGTATATAGGAGTTAGTATATACATACATTATATGTATATAGGAGTGAATAGTATGCTAGTATATACATACATTATATGTATATAGGAGTTAATAGTATGGTAGTATATAAATACATTATATGTATATAGGAGTTAACAGGGTGCTAGTATATGAATACATTATATGTATATAGGAGTTAATAGTGTGCTAGTACATAAATACATTATATGTATATAGGACTTAGAACAGTGTGGTAGTATATAAATACATATGTATATAGGAGTTAACAGTGTGCTAGTATATACATAGATTATATGTATATAGGAGTTAACAGTGTGCTAGTATATTAATACATTATATGTATATAGGAGTTAATAGTGTGGTA